TCTAATCTCTTTGCTTTTCTTCGTGGTGAATTGGGCATAAATCATCCTTTTGGCATGGTTTGAGGGAGAGTTTGTACCTCATGGTTTTATCAAGCAATAATATTGCAATGAGAAAAATTGAGAAAAGAGAGCTTTATGTTATACATATGGTATTTTCTTGTGCATGCTAGCAATACTTTGAAGGTTTATTTGTCTCTAGCATAGCTTGTAAGTATTCTAGTCTCTTCATGAGATTTAGATTTTGCTTTTAAGGGAGATGATGCATAACATTTAAATTCTACTTGAATTAAGTAAATATGCAATGTTGATGCTAGCATATGGTTTGATTTATAAATGCTCTATATATATGCTTTATTGAATTGTTATTCCTCAAATAGCTTTAATTGCTCATTGTGAAAAAGAGAATAAAAAATATGAAAAAAAATGAATACTGAATCCTTGGAAACAGTCTTGACGACAAGGACGTATTCGATGTGAGCAAAATAATGGGTGCCGAATCTCTGGAAACAGTTTTGACGACAGGGACGTACCCGGAATAAAAGAGAAAAATATGAGTAAAAAGGCTCAAGAAAAGAAAAAGTTAAAAAATTATCTTGGTTATTTTGTGCTAAAGTTTATTTGAGAAAGAGTGATAAATGCAATAGGTATATGTGTTTAGTGTTTATTCTTCAACCTATGTGCTTGTTAAGATGTTGTATTATAAATCGTATGATATCATGAATTTTGATTGTTGATTCAAGCTTAATTGTAAAATCTTTGGTTCATGGTTATACTTTAATGCATGCTTATTGTGTTCTAGATGGGTTTATCTTCTTTTTATTGTAACACATGACTTGATATGCTATATGTATGCTAAGCTCTTGACCATTAAAGAACATAATTCCTATACTTGATGAAATCATTGTCAAAAGGGGGAGAAGTAATTGTGAAAATTTTTAGATTTTTGGAGAAGCAAGGAGAAGCAAGGTGAATTTTTGGAGGAGTTGTTGAGAAGAGCATGTTTTTGGTTCAATTGGGAATTTCTTTCTTTTAAAAAGGGGAGATTCAATTGGAAATTTCTTTCTTTTAAAAAGGGGGAGAAGTTTTCTTTTGGATTTTTGAGCACGATGTGTACATTTGTACGAAGTGTGCTTTTTACCACTTTTGTTTTTATTTTTCCAAACACCAAAACATTTTTATGAGTTTGCCAATGTGTTCATCAAGGGGGAGATTGTAGAATCAAAGGTGTTTTTGATTATTATTCTGTGATGAACAATAGGGCATTGGAGATTATTGGTTTTGTTATTTGGAATTTATTCACGAAGTGGTTTTGGAGATGATTGGATTCACAGGTGATCGCAGGGTTCATTATTTTATGTGACCGGTCAGACCAAGTTGTGTATGCCGGTCAGACCGGCGGTGATCGAGCGGTCGGACCGGCCAGCCCGCGGTCTGACCGGCCGACGCTGTGTCGGTTTCGGTTTCGGGTTGTTTGTTTGGATATCCGAGTTTATTTCTTGATTATGACTTCTAGATGGATACTATACGTATGTAATACTATTGTTTGCTGCTAATGAGTCAAGTTGGAGATAGCTTGGTCTCGGAATATGGTTTCTTTGTTTGTTCCATGTGTAGGTGACTCGATGTCTCGGGAGAGTATTTGCGGTGATGGACCGGGAGTCGGCTTGGGGATAAGGTGACGTCCGTGATGGTCAGAGATCATGCGGGATACTTAGGCTAGAGTTGATGCACGTGGTTGATGGAGATTCTATATGGCATACGATGGAGTTATTGTGTGTGTATGGGATGCGGAGTTGAATTTGGAAGGAGTCCAAATTTGGTACGATTGGTTATGTAAAGTTTCTTTCTTGTACTAGTATGAGTTTAGGACTCTTAGTATGAGTTTGGTTCGTGGCTTTAGGCTGCCTACCTCATGTATAAAAGGGGGAGCGTGAGGCTTCCCGGTATCGCTTTAGAGAGCAATTGAGTTGAGTTTTGAGTTAGGGTTTCGAGTTTAGTCGAAATTTTTGTAAGGAGTGCATTTGGTGCACTTTGTAAACACGGAGAGAATCAATAAAGTCGTCATCTACTTTAAGAATTCTTCGATTTGTGTTTCACCAGGTTTCGGCGGTCTAACCGGCAACTCACCGGCGGTCAGACCGGCAGCATTGTGGCGGTCAGACCGGCGGGAGCACGGCGGTCAGACCGGTGGCAGCGACAGCGAGCGGCAGGCGATCTCGGCGGTTAGACCGGCAGGTCAACACCGGTCAGACCGGCGGTTACGCTTTGGTCAGACCGGCTAATCTACTTCGGTTAGACCGATTTCATCGAAATTGAGGGTAACTTTTATTTTCGCTAAAAGTTTTCGGTTTTTGGGTATACTAATCAATCACCCCCTCTGGTTGGCTTAGTTCTTGTGATTCGTTCCTACAGTCCTGCACATACTCCTCGATCCTGCCGGACTTAGGGACCACCGCTTTCAGAAGGTAAGTTCACAACACTGCGAATATTTTTTTTATAGCTAAGGTAGCTAGAAATTGATTGAAGGAAGCAATGCAGTAATAATTCACATGGCTTGCAGCAATTTATTTTAGGGAGTTTGCTGTATGTAGTTGAGTGGAACTCACTACAGCACTTGGTGGCCTCTGCCTTCCTCGTTGCAGTTTACAGTGACAACATGCTGAGGAAGATGGTGGTGAGCTGCAGTGGAGAGCTTCTTTCTGGCCAATCTGTTCAAATTTGCCTAGTTCCAGGTAACACTTTGGAGCAATAGATTTCAGAACCGTTCAAGCTTCAGATAAATGGACGAGTTCAAAACTGTTCAGACTAATTCAGAGAGAACAAAAATGTTTGTAGGATCGAATCACAAGAACTAAGCCAACCAGGGGGGTGAATTGTTGGTATACCCAAAAACCCAAATTTTTTGCGGAATTAAAGGTTACCCTCTAATTTATTGTTTTCACGCCAAACTCACCAATATCACAAATTCACAGCCCAACTCACCAACATCACAAATTCACAGATCAAATAAACATCACAGATCAAAATGACAACACAAATTCACAGATCATTGATATCACAAATTCACATACTTCACAAAATTAATCATCCACAGCAGCACCACACATCTACAACGACATCACAAAAACAAGTCCTCACATCGTCGTCTTCAGCGCTGCATCAGCCCGCTCGTCAGTGCCGCGACAACCCCTCCGGGCCGCCGCCTGCCACCGTCCTCCCCTCCACCCGCCCGACCGCCGCCTGCCACCTCCTGCCACCAATAGGTAAGGGGAGGGGATTGAGAGGAGGAGAGGGGATCGGGAAAGGAGTGAAGAGGATGAGTGGAGGAAGAGAGGACGAAGGGATAAGGCGTTTGTGAAAAAGAATAAGAAGGGATAAGAACGAGTAGGCGCGCGGTTGCCGAGGAGGCGTGTGCAGCTGCTTTTTTTTAATCTTTGGTTCCGATTGGTATAAATAATTAGGCAAAATTTGCTACAGGACACTCCAAAATCGTGTAATTGGCTGTGGGACACCGCAAAATCTTGGCTTTGCCCACGGACACTACGAAAGTTGTGAAATTGGCTGTGAGACACCGGAGGCAATATTTTATAATTTCCGAGGCAAAAGTGGTCAGAAAATTTTCTAAATGACCAATCTACCCCTGCGCGCCGCTACCTCTAAGCCTGACTGGGTCTGGTCGAACCAGACCTAGCCGGCGCTGTTTCCATCCCCCCTCCCTCCACAGCCCGATTCCCCATTCCCAAACCTAACCGTAGGCGACGGCGGCGGCGGCAGCGACGGCGGCGGCGGTGGTGGCGGGGCCGGCGGTGGCGGCGCCGGCGGAGGCCGATGGAGCTGTCATATTGGTAGGCGGCCGAGCGGCAGCTAGGAAGATGTCGCCAAGGAAGAAGTGTGCTGGGAAGAAATCGTCCCTGCGGCTGACGAGCAGTGAGGTTCCATTGAAGGCATTGGACATGTCTTGGGTTCCTCAAGGGTAAGCTTGATTCCTTTTTGCCTCGCATTATGAGTGGAATTGTTTGCAGTGATATGTGTTGCGAGTTGTAGAGTTTTTGTTGCAATTTAAAGTGATTGAAATTTGGTGATTTTATTGCTGCGTTTTTGTCGCGTAGGATGGACGCTAGCGCAGCTTGCAGAGTTGATGTTCGAGTTGGTCCATACGTTGAGTTTGATGAGAACGGTAGACCGGATTATCATGTCTCTCGTGATATTAAGTGGGTAATAGACAAGGATACAATTTGTTGGATTGACCTTATTAATGATCTTGATGGGGAGGTAAAACATAGTTATCTTCAGGAGATAACTGTAACCTATTGGGACAAAAATGTTGAGAGGTATGCAGAGATAGCTTCGGATAGTTCATTGCTTGATGCATTTGATATGTACTGGGAGATGAGGAGGCTCCCTTTGCTTGTTAATGTGAGTGATGACCCACGAAATAGGACCGAGCCTTGTATGGATCAAGGCAGCATTGATGGGCCGGCTAGTACTGTTGCAGGAGATGGACAAGTTGCTTGTACTGACATTGTATTAGCCACTCAAGAGAGCCAAGTCATTGCATCTAAACGTAGCAAACCTAGCAAACCTACGAAGCCTAAGGAAAAGGTTGATGATTGGGGTGAGAGTGATGAGGTTGAGTATGTTGGTGTAGATGATGAGAAAGAGAAATACAACGACTTGGTTTCAGATGATGAGGCAGTTGACGCAGACTATGACCCTGGTTCTGACGAAGATCAAGACGATTTAGCCGTTGACGATGAGGAGGGTTGTGAGTCAGTGGCTCATGTAACTGATGTAGACAATCCTAAGATAGCCGTTGGTGTAACTTTTGAAGATGGCAATTGCTTTAAAAGGTGCATTAGACAATATGCAGTACTAAAAGAGGTTGAACTTGCAGTGCCATATAGCGAATCAAGGAGGTATAGGGCATACTGTAAGGCTAAGCGGTGCAAGTGGAGGATACATGCTTCTAGACTACCGGATGGGAGAACTTGGCAAGTAAGTAGGCCTACATAATTGATGTTCACTGATTTGTCTATTCATTGTGTTTTCTGCCATTTATAACATTTTTGCTATTTCATTTCAGATAAAGAAGCTTCCTTACGCACATAATTGTGCTAGCACAGCTGGTTTGGAGAACAATTGCATGGCCACCAATTCATGGGTGAGAGATCGTGTGATCAACAAGTTGAGACAAGAACCAACCCTTGGTGCTACTGCTTTAAAGAAGTTCTTGGAAGAGAAGTACAAGATCAATATTTCTTACTACGTTGTTTGGGACGGTAGGCAGATGGCACTTGATGAAATCCTTGGCAAATGGGAAGATAGCTTCGATGCAGCTTACAACTTCAAAGCAGAGTTGGAGAGGACAAGTCCCGGATCAATTGTGGAGGTTGATCATGTGACAGTGGATGGGAAGAATCATTTCAGCAAGATGTTTGTAGCACTGAAACCATGTGTTGATGGGTTTCTTAACGGTTGCAGGCCATATTTAGGTATTGACTCAACTGTACTGACTGGCAAATGGAGAGGGCAATTGGCATCAGCAATTGGGATTGATGGCCATAACTGGATGTTTCCTGTAGCATATGGAGTCTTTGAGTCAGAAAGTACAGATAATTGGGCTTGGTTCATGGATAAGCTTCACTCGGCAATTGGGTCCCCAGAGGGGTTGGTTCTGTCCACAGATGCTGGTAAAGGCATTGACACAGCAGTCACCAGAGTCTTCACCAATGGAGTAGAGCATAGGGAATGCATGAGACATTTGGTGAAGAACTTTCAGAAGAGGTTCAGTGGTGAGGTCTTTGAGAGGAATCTGTGGCCTGCATCAAGGGCCTATAGGCAGGACATATTCGAGAGTCACTATAATGAGATGAAAGAGGCATGTCCAAAAGCTACAGAATGGATTGATAACTTCCATAAGCACATTTGGACTAGATGTCAGTTCTCTACTCTCAGTAAATGTGACTATGTCACAAACAATATAGCAGAGACCTTCAATAGTTGGATCAGGCATGAGAAATCACTGCCTGTAGTTGATTTGATGGATAAGATTAGGCAAATGATCATGGAGAGAATGTCTGTTAGGAAAAGGCTTGCTGTCAAGTTGACTGGTACTATTCTTCCTAGTGTAATGAAGTCCCTGTATGCTAGGAGCAGGGACCTTGGATACAAGCTGTACTCAGCCCACAGTCACCTAGGAGAAATAGGAGGGACTGGTAGGGATTTGAAGACATGGAGGCACACTGTTGACTTGAACACTCGAGAATGCAGTTGTAGGCAATGGCAGGTAACAGGTATACCTTGCACACATGCCATTTTTCTAGTCATTTCACGGAGGGGGCTAGAATTGGAACAGTTTGTGGATGACTGCTACTCTGTTGCAACATTCAAGAAGGCATATGCAGGACATGTAGTTCCAATGACAGACAAGTCTCAATGGGCCAAGATTAATGTAGGATTCAAGTTATATCCACCTCTGTTGAAGAGGTCAGCAGGCAGACCTAGAAGCAGAAGGATTAAAGGAATGGAAGAAGGAGGTTCAGGAAAAAGAAAGTATAGATGCAAGAGGTGTGGTCAGTTTGGCCATATCAAGAAGACTTGCAATGAACCAGTTGCTGATCCATCTGCCCCTCCACCAGCCCCACCAAAGCCCAAGAGAAAAAGAGTGAAGAAAGTTGTGCTTTCTGTGCAAGATCCTGTTATACAAGTCCCAACAGCTACTGTGTATGTTGTCAACAGCAAAATTTCTTTTTTATGCCATACATTTGCTATATTTACTCTACATATTTATGTTGATTTTCATTTTTTTGCAGGTCCACACCTTCAAGATCACAAGCATCTGGGGTAACTCAAACAAGCCCAATAACAAGGAGCAGGGCTAGAGCTCACAATTTGGATGTTGATGCTCCAAGCAACAAGGCAGCTGGTGCCATCTGAAGACTGAAGTTCAATGACATGAAATTTGCTTTTGTATAAATGTAGGATGCTATGTTCACTGATGTTAGCTTTTAATGGCATGGACTCCTTTATGTGCTAAGTGCACTGCTTTTGTTATGGAGCCAATGGGCAGTACTACTCATATTTGCTAGGCAAAATGTGCCTAAAGACTTTCATGTATGGCTTTTGTATAGACCAAGCTTAATGGCAGTGGCAGTACCATGTGTGGCACTGGATGTATGGCACTAGTTGATGTGGAATGGCAGTGAGTATTTCTGGAATGGCTTCTAAATTATTGCTGTCTAAAATTTTGTTTACTGTCCAACATGCTTGTAAATGTTTGTTGTATGGATGTATGCCAGTTTGCTGTCTGAAATTTTGCCAAACTGTCAATTTGCTGTCTGGGCAAATTTTTTGCCAATGTTTCAGACAGCAAAAATTTACTGCTCAGATGCCAACATGCTGTCCAATTTTTTGTCTGGCCAAATTTTGCCAACATGCTGTCCAAATTTTTCTCTGGCCAAATTTTGTCAACATGTTGTCCAAATTGCTCAGATGCCATATACTACTGCAAATGCTGTGCACTATTACTCAATGCCATATCAAAGCAACATCACAGAGTACTGCAAAAATTCCAATTGCTCAGATGCCATATCAAACCAAATTCGAATGGCTGCATTTCATCTGAAAACCATACTACATTCATTAATTCCACAGGGCATTCATAAGTTCAACATTACATTGCTTCCAAATACTAAATTGCCTATTACAGTCCATATTACTTGCTAATGACAACTACCAAAATCAACAGTAATAATAAAGCTTGCACAACTCCAAGGTACACTAAAATTCGTCCCACTCCTTCAACTCCCTTCATTTCTGAGCCAACAATCCCCATCAGTGGCACAATGGACATTTGCCCAAGGGCAACTCGCCACCACCACGGCGCCGTACCACTGAAGATGACGCCGAGCTGTCCATCGCCGCACCAACCGAAGCCGACTAGGCCGCCGTCGCCGCCGTCCTCAACACTGCCGCCTCCGCCGCCGGCCCCGCCACCGCCGCCGCCGTCGCTGCCGCCGCCGCCTCCGCCGCCGCCGTCGCCTAGGGTTAGGTTTGGGAATGGGGAATCGGGAATCGGGCTGTGGAGGGAGGGAGGATGGAAACAGCGCCGGCTGGGTCTGGTTCGACCAGACCCAGTCAGGCTTAGAGGTAGCGGCGCGCAGGGGTAGATTGGTCATTTAGAAAATTTTCTGACCTCTTTTGCCTCGGAAATTATAAAATATTGCCTCCGGTGTCTCACAGCCAATTTCACAACTTTCGTAGTGTCCGTGGGCAAAGCCAAGATTTTGTGGTGTCCCACAGCCAATTACACGATTTTGGGGTGTCCTGTAGCAAATTTTCCCAAATAATTAGGACTAAATATTAATCTTTAGTCCCGGTTGGTAACAATAACCGGGACTAAAGACAGTGGGGGTCTGATGACTTTTTAAATCGGGACTGAAAAAATAACAAACCGGGACTAGAGATCAAAAGGTTCCCTTCGGCTTTTTAAGCAGGACTAAAAATAATCTTCAGTCCCTGTTCCTATTCGAACCGGGACTAATGTGATTTTTGCAATCCCAGCAAAGATTACTTCTCTAGTAGTGTCATGAATGCTTAAAAAGTAATGTATATTAATTATACTCCGAGATCAATATATATGTTTTGGTTTGTTTTAAAATGGATTACCTGACATCTCAAACAAACAAAGAAGTGCAAAAAGTTTTAGAAAGTTCTAAATTTTATAGGTTTTTCTTGCCACGATTCTCAAAATGTTACAAACAATTCCATCTATTATATACTAAAATCCATTAAACTTTTTACAAACGCTCTCAAGCCGCAATGGAGGATTTCTATAAACACTCCTAAACCGCCATGTGGCAATATAATAAATTAGAAAGATTCTAAATATTCTGAAAATAATATCAAGTGTTGATTTTCCCTTGGTGAACCCACTAATTAAATTGATTAGATCTATTATGTTTAGAAATAGTTGCACGTACGTACTCCCTCCCCTCCCGTATCCTCTCTTTCTTTTGAGCTAACCTCCTATTTTCTAGCTAACAATTAATATAAAAATAATTTAATTAGTATTTCTTAATAATTGCATAATTTAATTAGTATTTCTTAATAATTGCATATAAAAAAATTAAAAGAAATATATGGTACATGGATGCATATTCTAACACTATACATGCCAAAAACCGATGTGCAAATATTAGAGAACAATTTAATATGTTAGGATTATCCTATCATACAATTCTTCTGTTCCAAAACTAAAAAAATAAGCATATTTAAAATAGTGGCATGTCAAACATGTTAAACTTAATCAACATTACCACATACATACTCTAAAAAATCGTAGCACCAATGAGTATATTACACACATGTAACACTATTATAAACAAATCCCCAATTTTAACGTTCAAATTCATAAATTTGGGGGAACAATGGGTTATAAGATTACCGTCCGATCTACGAATTTCACCGATTAAAACGAAAAAAAGAGGGGGGAATTTTTTAGATAATGGAATAAATCCTGGCCTTTACTTCAAAGAAGCTGCAGCCACTTATTACAATAATCTCATAAAGAGAATAAGCATTCAGGCAACTACATAAAGAGTGACTAAAAACCAACACAAAAGACAAAACAATTATTGAAGTCTATTTGAGAGGGGGAATGGAAGAGTATATCTTGCTCTTCGATGTCTTGAAAGTTCCCGCAAAAAATGGCTCCAAAACGAGTCGAATTGAGAAGGAGGAAGTGAGAGGGGAAAGAGAGCAAGAGGTATTCTCGGGCTCGAGCATGGGAGAAGGGGCAAATGTGTGGGGAGTGAGAGGGGAGGGGGTGGGGCCCATGGGTTAAGTGCTACCCCCACCCCGGAGAAGCGTGCAAGAGGCGCTAGCGCCTTGGGGTGGTGGGGGGTTGGCGCCAGTATGGCAGGCACAGCTCTATTGGATGACAACATCAGCCACTCTGGCGTAAAAAAAAGGATCATTTCTAAAATAAATTTTTTTAGGGATCTATTTGTAAATTAAGTTTTTAGAAAGACCAAATTGTAAAAAAAATCCAGCATCTCAGACACCGTACGAAAATCCAAATATACTTATACTTTAGAGAGTGAGTATTGATATTTAAATATATAACAAATAGCTTAAAAATAATCAATATCGATAAAGAATATTTTTCAAAAAAAATGTACGATTATTAAAGGTACAATTTTCGATAGATAACGCCGTTGAATTTTTGATACATGTTCGGCAATTTATTTATATTAAAAATAAATAATTATTATTTATTTTGTTGTGACTTGGTTTATAACTTGACTTACATTTTCACATGTTTGCATAAAAACGTTAAATAAAACAAATGGTCAAATGCGTTTGCATAAAAACGTTAAATAAAACAAATGGTCAAACACGTGTACCTTCCGTCAAAAACCATGCCGTTGAATGCATAAGAGCAAGTTTAATAGTATAGCCTACTACTAACTCTAAATCATCTATAGCCAATGTAATAGTCAATTCTTACAATAGTTGCTTACTATACTATTAATATCTAGTCTCACCTGTCATACACACATTACATCTTGGAGTTCGTACTGCAGCTAACTACAGATCTCCGCCGTCGGATGCGAGATCCACGGCTCACGTAGCATATTAAAAATAAATATTATTATTTATTTTGTTGTGACTTGGTTTATAACTTAAGCATGACTTACATTTCCACATGTTTGCATAAAAACGTTAAATAAGATAAATGGTCAAACACGTGAAAAAAAACATACTTACCCACGTGAATGCGGGGGTTACCTTCCTAGTTGAATTAATAATCATCATCCTTCAAATAATTCCTCTATTTGCTGCTCGAGCTGCTCGGGACTAGTGACCACGAGGTGTCGATTGATTTTATTCTGCCTATCCATTTGCTCTATGTATTTACTATAATCTGGAATAACTTTGCTCATGATGGCTCTACGCAGTCTCTGCCGAAGCTGAGGGTTCGGAACCTTCCAAAACTTTTGTGTTGCGTAGGTTGTTTGGAGTTGTGTCTCAATTTTAGATTCATGAGACCTCCCGAGAGCAACAAAAGGCTTGTCGATGAGCAGGCAACGTAACAGAGGCGACCAGGAGGCATTAAGATAATCGTCTATGTACCTCTTAATCTTGCTGTCCGAGGCATGGAGGAGAAGGATTCGTTCTTGCCGGACGGCCGCTGGCAAGTCTCGCAAGGATTCAACACGCTGCAAGACACGGTGCCAATTGTTGAGCAAGAATATGAAGCGCAAACCCAGGTCCGGGATGGAGAGGGAGGTTTCCTCGAGCTTGCACTCGAGGCAGGTGATCATCTCGGCGATGAGTCTCGCCACCGAGCTGAAGCTGTCGGCGTCGGAGACGAACACGCTGAAGTAGTCGAGCATGGTATGGTTGCGCCAGAGAAGCGTGATGTAGTTCATCGTCAGCTCCGTGGTCTCATGGGTCCCGGATGCGGCTGCCTCCTGCGAGACCTGCCAGCAGGCGTCCATCAAGAAGAGAGCCCGGACCTTCTCCATCATGACCCAGATAGCATCGCTCAGCTTCCTCCTGCTTTGCATCAGGATGCCATTGTTCATGGCGTCCAAGGCCTGCATCTTCGTGATCTCGTCCTTGCCCATGCCAGCTGAGACGAGGAGATCGCATGCCTCGGAGACGCAGGCGTACAGCTGCAGCATCCCCGGGAGTAGCTCCGGCGTCCGGTGGCGGTGGTCGTCGTTGACGTTGAGAGCAGAAAGAGTGACGGCGTCGACGAAGGCCAGCATCCTGAGGATGCTCTCCTCCGCGAACCCAGTGAACTGCGCGTGGTCCGCCGCCGCCGCCATCCGTTCCGTACTTCCGGCGACCGGGAGTGGGAGCTCGAGCAGCGTGATATTGAGGACCTGCACCATGGTCAGGAGAGCTCGGATCCACCGCTTTATCAAGGCCATCAGGTCTTCCACGGAGAAGCTGTCAGCTCGCACCATGCCGTCGGTGTGGAGGACCAGGACAAAGTCCACGTCCAGCTGCGAGAACCACCTCTGGAAGATGAGCTCGTCGGGGCGGCGGCGGCCGAACGCCCGGATGAGTTCCTGTATGTAGCCGTCGCCGACCATCTGTTGAGCGATGACGCGGAGCTTGTGGACGGGAGAAGACGACGCCGAGGACCAAGCAGGGGATCCAGAGGATGACATGTAAGAAGACGACACCACGGGGCTAGAAGCCACGGAGCTCGCGCTCGACCAGCCGCACCTCGCTTGATCCTCGCCGGCACTACCAGTGATCTGCGGGAACAACAGCTTCGCCGGCCCGCAGTACATGTCGCCGGCGATGAACACGTCCCGGATCAAGTCGCGGTAGCTTCTCCACCGAAACCCCCCGGCCGGCGTGATGCCGTACTCCATGAGCGGCGCCGGCCGCAGAGAGAGGTCAGAGGAGGGGCCGGGCGTCGGGCGAGCTAGCTGAGGCTGAGGCTGAGGCTTAGCTGCTGCACTGATAGAGTACTAACTGAGAGTATGAGACTGCTCACGGCCGGCGACCACACGGCACATGCTGCCCCTCTCCTCATGGAATGAATAAATAATATGCATATGCGCGTCAACAATTTGAAATTAAGGCGACAGCAATCAGCAATTACTAGGATCCTTCCACTTCCATTTTCAACTAGTGTTGACGATGTTCCAAGGCGCCAACGCCGCTCGGAGAATAGACGTGGAGCCGTGGAGGAGAGGATAAGAGAGGAGAGGTGGAGACCGTGGAGTGAAGGAGACTAGACGCTGTTCCCGCTGTGTGACGCGGTGAGTGATTATGCTATTTTGTTTTTTTTCATATATTTACACCGTGTTTAGTTCCAAACTTTTTTTTTCAAGCTTTTAACTTTTCTATCACATCAAAACTTTTCTACACACATAAACTTTCAATATTTTCATCACATCGTTCCAACTTCAACCAAATTTCCAATTTTAACGTAAAAGTTGTTACTCGTAGACCGAGACCAATACATGCACCGTAAAGTTTTATCTCCAAATATGGATGCCTATGTGTTTTAATTTCCATTCGTAATTTAAAAGTAATCCACAGAACTATCTACATATACAGGAAGAAATTGGTCGATAGTTCAACCACCGTGCGTTTCAACATGAAGCTGCACGTATACGCGTGAAAGAATATATATAGTTCTGGGTCTCAGGCTAGCATGCATTTTAGACAAATGACAGGAGATGAAAAACAGAGCAGATACGCATACATACGTACGTATTAGGAATCCTAAACTTAACCATATGAATATATGTTTCAGATTTCAGAATAATGGACATTCAAATAACTGAGGCACTAATCATCTTCTCTGTTAAATATGTGATTCAAATTTTGAGCCCACAATATATTTGGAATAGCTTCCTAATTAATAGAACTTGACTATTAGGATCAGTTCCTAATATGACTCAGTTTTTTCCCACTAGGACTCCTAGATTTCTTTTATACATATCTCTTGTAAGCCGCACGGGGAGGGTGCGATAGCCCAATGTATCATATCCAACTCCTCTATAGTGATCATTGCGGTCGGCGCCCGTGGTTTTTTCCCACAAGGGTTTTCCACGTAAAATTCGTCTCTCCGTTTGTCGAAACAAGATTTCGGCAATACTAAGAGGGGTGGCTATCAAGCTAGAAAAGTGGATGTGTTGAGAGATAAGGAATTTTATACAGGTTCAGGCCTTCTTAACAAGAAGTAATACCCTGCTCCTGTCCGGGGATTACTCCGCCGAGTGTATTATTGATCGTATGATCTGGGAGAAAAATCGTGCCCCAAGAGGCACCCGGACCCCTCCTTATATAGGGGAAGGGGTCCGTATTACAAGGTACAGCCTATATTCCTAACGGAATAGGTAGTTACAGATAAGATACAATCGTATCCAACTAGGATCCCGGGTATTTCCTTGACATACAAGTTTGGAATTTAACCCAAGTCCCTTTAAAGATATTCTATCTATACATGGTACCCCATACCCAGTCGGATATACATGCCGTGTAGGTATGGGGTATCCATAATCTCCACAGTAGCCCCTGAGACCTTTACAGTCGACGAAATAGTCTTCTCTCGTCATTCAAAATGATAATCCGAGTGCTTCAACTTCCTCTGCCTTGGTCTCCCGAGTACTAAAATCAAAGACTGTGAAGGGCTGAAAATAGAAAAAATCAGGTGCATCGACTAGATGTACCTAATTAGGTGTAGCCCCCAACTATATGATTAGTTAACTAAAAACCAATCATATAGTCAAAGTGCATATGAACATCCATCCGTGTGGTTTTACAACCGAATCATCCAAGGGATCATATAGCTAAGCATATGCGGCGTTTAATAAAATATCCAGTCGACTGCCTTAGCTTTAACACACCAAAAAGGAGACATAGAAGAGGCCCGAGTGAGAAACACTCTAAAGGTCTATAAATCAATACATATGATAAAAATCCGAGTAAAAACTCTCAAAAAGATCCATCAAATGTGGTATAAAACATGATAAACGACGAGTCTAAATAGCCTAAGCTACATCTCACGCTATTACCAAAGTAAGCATATAACGTGCCGAGAGAATGACTATTCAAAATCAGTCATCTCAATAAGACCCGAACAGCTTTGTAGCCTAAAAAGGCCTACAAAATTAGTATAACACTTTTCTGTTGGGCACCTTTTTATTTGCATTGTAGTAATTCCAAAGAATTATCTAACTGCGTCAAAAAGGATTTTAACAGCATTGGGCTATTTTGTCATGAGCAAGTGTTGCCAAAGCAAAAACAAATGCCTAAGCCCCCAAGGATCACAACCAGCCACGCTGATAACAAAATTGGGCTGAAAATACTATTTAGGCCCAGGCCCATTAGCACCTCCCGATACCCTAGCGGAATAAACGCTGAAAACAGGGCGTCGTTTCGTCTTCCCTGCCGAAACCTTCGCCACTTTCCCCACTCTCTGCTACAGTGCAAAACCACACCGGCGAAAGCTAGGGTTCACAAATCCACTCCAATCCATCTCTCTAGAGCTTCACAGCTCCCACAAAAATCTTCCGCGCAACTACCGCATCGATCTCCCATCCATTTCTGACCACTTCCAAATCAAATCGCATCATCCAACTCGCATCCATGGTAGAGGAGAGAGAAAGCTTTGAAAGTCAGTGGGCGCCCTCCGATGTTACGGAGGAAAACTTGAAGGAGATGGTTGCGCATGGTGTTCTTCCGGCAAAGGAGATCATCGGGTTGCGTCCGGCATGCGGCGAAGCATTACCGACCCCTGACACACACGAGGTCGTGGTGTTCTCTCATTTCTTCTATGGTGGTTTTTCTCTTCCAACCTCAAGATTCTTCCGGGGGATTCTGGAGTTTTATGGGATTAGTTTGCATCACCTAAACCCAATTCCATAGTCCATATTGCCAATTTTATCCATGTCTGCGAAGCCTTTCTAGGGATTAGGCCTCATTTTGCCTTATTCCGCCGAATCTTCTTCTTAAAGCCCCAGCCAAACAAGAGCAAGCCGTGCGTTGTGGGGGGAGTCGGTTTTCAACTAAGGGGAACCTTGAGCCAGAAATACTTCTCCATGCCCTTCAAAACCTCGAAAAAGGGTTGGCACGCAAATTGGTTTTATGTGCAAAATCCTGAACCAGCACTTCCCGAGTACTCCTGTCTTCCTCCAGTATATCAAGACACCTGGAACTCGCTTCCAATGGGAGATGAGGCTGCCCAAGCACTTTCTCTGATGGACCGCATGCTGAAGCTCAAAGAGCAGGGTCTGCAAGGGGAACAAATCACCCGGCATTTTATCAAGAGCCGGCTGGCACCGATTAAAGAGAGATCTCGCACAGCCTTCGAATTTGATGGCAAGCATGATCCCAACCGTGAAGATCCAGAATCTCTTGAGTTTAAAATCATGAAGGAGAGAATGTACAAAATCTTGTCAAATGCTATCGTAGTCAACTATTCACACTTGTTGCCAGTGGTGCCATATAATGCTTTCAACCCTCCTCCACCGGTATGTATCAAACATCTCGGCCTCTCTCAAAAACATCCTTTTATTTTCTGCAAGGTTGATTGAAAACTTGGAATATCATGCACAGGAATTTGCCTTGATGAAGTCTGATCCTCCGACTGCTCAACGCCGCTCACCCCATCGGTAGGCTGGTCAGGCTAGTGGAGGGCCAAAAATCCGGTCTGATGCTCAACCAAACACCTCGAAGCCGACTAACCAGTCAGACTCTCATAAGAGGAAATTAGTTCTGAGTGACGATGAGGGTGACAATGTTGAAAAGGCTGGCAACAAAGGGGTGACTGGGAAACAGCCAAGACAAGCTAACCCGAAGAAGAAAACATCCAGTCGTCCCATACCAAAAATCAGGAAGTCATCCAGGTACAAGTCATTTTGCAATTTCCCCTGTATCGCTGGTCATTCACTATTGAAGTAGTGTTAATAGCATATCTCAAATTTGCAGGAAGCCATCTGATATCGATCCTTCTGGAAAAGACTCTGAACCGACTGGCGCGGAGACTGGTCCTGCGACAGAAACCGGGCCGACTGCCGAAGATCGCCCGAGTAGTAATCAACCAGCAACGGACAATGTAGAGGCTAGCAACGAGCCCCCAACTGGAAACCAGTCGGCCGAAGCTGAAGTCGGCGCTGACCAGGAGCCCCCGACTGGAAACCAGTCGGGTACATAACGAAATGAAGACATCCCGGAAGTAGAGGCTCAAGCAAGTAGCCCTCCCCAAAAAGATACCAACACCGACCTGAAGTCCAGCTCACCTGGTAGGGTGCAAGGGCCTGCTCGTCCTCGACCAAAAATCATAACAGGTAAACAACTCTTCTAAATCTGTTTTGATCCGACAAACTTTCTTCAATTGCTTTATCATCGTCCATGAATATGTAAGGCCCAATGATTGGTGACGAAGAAGAGGTCCTTCGGATACGGTCAGCTGAAGATTCTTGCCCACCCATCTTAGTTAAATGGTGGGATGATGAAATGCGGTTACAAGGGATTGTGATAAATAAACAGAAGGAAGATGAGAAAGTTTCTTTGCTGACAAAGACACTCAATCAGGCCACTCGTCTTGTAAATATATGTCTCTTTACACATAGCCTTAATCATCCTGTCGGCCACTTTACTGAATAGAGATAAATTTGTAATGCAGAGAATCCATCTTAGGAATGAAGCAAAAACTGCAACCCTTGAGAAACTGGTCCCCCACCTTGGAACCCTGGAAACAACCATAGCCCAACTACGTGAAGCCAAGGAGCTTGCCAGAAAAACTGAGCATGATCTTAGGGACCGAATCGCCGAGCTCCAAGATTCCAACTTTGAGCTGAGCGGTTCATCCAAAGGTAACTTTTATTCCTGTCCGACTTACTCAAAGCCGCTATCCATATGCAATTAACCAATGGAGAATAATACAGTGCAAGCTGCCAAGATATCTGAGCTAGAAAAGCGAATCAAAGCTCTGGAAAAAGACAAGGGTGAATTGACCAAACAAAGGGACTCGGCTCGGAAAGACGTCGAAGGTACTTGTAACTGAGACTTCAAAACCATTCTTGTCTTCATGCCTAGTCATTGATGTGAACCATTTGTGCAGATAGCAAAATCAAATCTCAAGCTCAATTCGACGTCTTGGTCAACAAAATTAAGAAGCTCGAAGGAGCTAGGGATGAAGTCGCCAATGCCGCTACACCACTCATCAAAGCCATGTTTTTCAATAAC